ATTATTATTATTATAATATATATTTTTTTGAGACAGAGTCTTGCTCTGTCGCCTAGGCTGGAGTGCAATGGCACGATCTCAGCTCACTGAGATCATCCTCTGCCTCCCAGGTTATCCTTTGCCTCCCAGGTTCAAGTGATTCTCTTGCATCAGCCTCCCGAGTAGCTGGGACTACAGGCACCTGGCATGAAGTCAAGCTAAGTTTCGTATTTTTAGAGAGGGGATTACAACACGCTGGCCAAGCTGGTCTTAAACTCCTGACCTCAAGCAATCTGCCAGCCTCGACCTCCCAAAGTGCCAGGATTACAGGCATGAGCCACCATGCCCAGCAGGATCCCAGATTATTTAAGGCAGGGCTTATAGTTTATTATTATTATTTTTTTTGAGAAAGTCTTGCTCTGTCACCCAGGCTGGAGTGCAATGGCACAATCTTGGCTCACTGCAACCTCTGCCTCCCGGGTTCAAGTGATTCTTCTGCCCCTGCCTCCCACGTAGCTGGGATTACAGGCGCATGCCACCATGCCAGGCTAATTTTTTGTATTTTTAGTAGAGCCAGAATTTCACCATGTTGGCCTGGCTAGTCTTGAACTCCTGACCTTAGGTGATCTGCCCCCCGTCGGCCTCCCAAAGAGCTGGGATTATAGGTGTGAGCCACCGCGTCCAGTAGGGCTTATAATTTATAATGTAGTAGAGAGAGAAGAGGGAAACATAGGAATATTAAACTATAGGTGCTCTAAGAAAGTGTAGTGATATTCGTTGTTTTTTGTTTTATTATTTATTGGCAGTCCTTGGTAGACAGAATGATACTTCTACAAATATGTCCATGTGTTAATCTCCTGAACCTATGAATATGTTGGTTGCCTTCCAGAAGGGACTGGATGATGTGATTAAGGATCTTAAAATGAAAATAGTATCTGGAATTATTCAGTTGGGGCTAATGTAATCACAAGGGGCCTTCTAAAAGGAAGGCAGAGGTCAGAGTCAGAGCAGGCACTGTGACGACTCAAGCAGGGGCTGGAGTGATGCTGTGGCTGGAATGGAGCCAGGAGCCAAGGAATGTGGACAGTATGTAGAATCTGGGAAGAGTAAGGAACAGATCTACCCTCAGAGGCTGGGTGCAGTGGCTCAATCCTGTAATTCCAGCACTTTGGGACGCCGAGGCCGGTGGATCACCTGAGGTCAGGAGTTCGAGAGCAGCCTGGCCAACATGGCAAAACCCTGTCTCTACTAAAATACAAAAATTAGCCGGCATAGTGGTCCGTGCCCGTAATCCCAGCTAGTTGGGAGGCTGAGGCATGAGAATCGCTTGAACCCAGGAGGCGGAGACTGCAGTAAGCTGAGATGGTGCCACTGCACTCCAGTCTGGGTGAAAAAGTGAGACTCCGTCTGAAAAAAAAAAAAAAAAGAATTCACCCTCAGAGCCTCTAGGAATGCAGTCCTGCCAACACCTTAATGTTAAGACCAGTCTCAGACTTCTGACCACCCGAACTGTAAGATCATAAACTTACAATAAACTTATGTTGTTTTAAGCCACTAGGTTTGTAATAATTAATTACAGCACTCATGGGAAACTAAAACAGCCATAATAACACATAATACTATTTGACACGAAGGGGTGATTGTACAAGAAGGCTTTCAGTTTATGTAAAAAAGCATTAAATGGAAACTTTAAAGTTGGACAGGGTTTCCCACGGCCAGATGAGGAGGGAGGGTGCATTCTAAGCAATAAATTGTAGGTAATTCACCAAGTGAAAACATTTCTGATATTTGGTCATTTTTTATAGAACTTACCCATCCATTAAACACATGGAGGGCAGGGCTTAGCAATGTGTGTCATGGTGACGAGGTTGCTGTCATCTACAACTCTCTCTGACGTCTAGGAAGGCCAGCTGTGCAAATTTTTTTTTTATGCTTCCTTTCAGTTGCTAGCATGGTTCCACCTCCTCACTCTGCCCCCATCTGTCTTAAGTTTAGGTCTGCAGATTTTCAAAGAGGCTGGAAGAAGCTAATGGTACCAAAGGGACCAAAACTTGGTCTACAAGATTCCCTGGTCATCTACAGAATGAATAAACTTCAGATAGGTAACTTTCACATCCAGTTCTCACAGCATCAGGTAATTCCTGAGTGCCTACCAGATAGCCACAATTCCTGTTTATAGTGTACTTGGGGGGAATACAGACATTAAAAAAATAGAAGTGTGATGAATTACTAAAGAAAAAGCTGGCCGGACATGGTGGCTCATGCCTGTAATCCCAGCAGTTTGGGAGGCCAAGGTGAGCGGATCGCTTGAGGCCAGGAGTTTGAGACCAGCCTGGTCCACATGGCAGAAACCCCATCTCTACAGAAAACACAAAAATTAGTCAGGCATGGTGGTACACGCCTATAATCCTGCTCCTTGGGAGACTGAGGCATGAGGATCACTTGAGCCTGGGAGGTGGAGGCTGCAGTGAGCCATGATTGCTCACTACTCTCCAGCTTGGGCGACACAGCAACACTCTGTCTCGAAAAGAAAAAGAAAAAGAAAAAGAAAAAAAAAAGAAAAAGAAAAAAAAAGAAAAAGAAAAAAAAAGAAAAAAAAAGCACAAGTTGCAATGTGAGTGTAGTAGAGAGGATGATGATTTGCCTCTGAATCTTTCAATCTTTAGGCCTCCTTTACTGTCAACTTCAACAAAGGGCAGCACAGATTTTTCCCCAGATGATCTATACATTTTTATTTATTTTATTTTTATTTTTATTTTTTTTGAGATAGAGTCTTGCTCTGTCACCCAGGCTGGAGTGTAGTGATGCATCTTGGCTACTGGAACCTCTGCCTCCCAGGTTCAAGCCACCCTCCCATCTCATCACAGCCTCCCGAATAGCTGGGACTACAAGCATGCACCACCATGCCTGGCTAAGTTTTAAATTTTTTGTAGAAATGGGGGTCTCACGTCATTGCCCAGGCTGGTCTGGAACTCCTGAGCTCAAACAATCCACCTGCCTCGGCCTCCCAAAGTGCTGGGATGACAGGCGTAAGCCATGGTGCCTGGCCAATCTATGCAATACATTTTTAAATATATATGTTATAGAAATATATTACTGAACATTAAAAAAATAGAAAATAAAGCTATCCATAGGCTACTATTCTAGCATACCCTGCAAAATCCCTTTGAAGTTTTACTGTGTAATATAAAATAGGTGTCATTTATTGCAACCATGTGCAATGCACTGTGCTAAGAATCTTCTATACATAATCTTATTTAGTCCTTGTAACAATTCTGTGATGTAGATATTATGCCGTTTTCTCCATTTTACATGCACAACTTGAAGATATTGCTAGTTTAGTTCCAGACCACTGCAATATTGCTAATATTGTAATAAAGTGAGTCACACAAAGTTTTTGGTTTCCCAGTGCATATAAAAGTTATGTTTCTACTATACTGCAGTCTATTTAGTGTCAAGGCTGGGTACAGTTGCTCGTGCCTGAAATCCCAGCACTTTGGGAGGCCTAGGTGGGCAGATTGCTTGAGACCAGGAGTTCAACACCAGCCAGGGCAACATGGCGAAATCCCGTCTTTACAAAACATACAAAAAAAATTAGCCATGTGTGGTGGCGCACGCCTGTAGTCCCAGCTACTCAGGAGGTTGAGGTGAGAGGATAGCTTGAGCTGGGAGGTTGAGGCTGCAGTGAGCCGTAACTGTGCCACTGCCCTCCAGCCTGGGTGACAGAGTGAGACCCTGTCTCAAAACAAACAAACAAAACTTTACTGCTAAAAAATGCTAAGGATCATCTGAGCTGTCAGTGAATCGTCATCTTTTTGCTGGCAAAGGGTCTTGCCTTAATGTTAATGGTTGCTGATTGATCAGAGTGGTGGATGCTAAAGTTTGGGGTAGCTGTGGCAATTTCTTAAAATAAGACAACAATGAAATCTGCCACATGGATTGACTCTTCCTTTCATGAGAGTTTTCCCTGTGACATGCAGTGCTGTTTAGCATTTTACCCACAAAAGAACTTTCAGATTTGAATTTCTTTCAAAATTAGAGTCAATCCTGTCAAACCCTGCTTCTGTTTTATCAACAGTTCCGTAGTTTATGGAATATTCTAAATCCTTTGTTGTCAATCAACAGTGTTCACAGCATCTTCACCAGGAGTAGTTTCCATTTCAAGAAACCACTTTCTTTGCTGATCCATAAGAAGCAACTCCTTGCCCATTAAAGCTTTGTCTTGAGATTGCAGCAATTCAGTCACATCTGCGGGCTCCACTTCTAATTCTAGTTCTTTTGCTATTTCCACCACATCTGCAGTTGTGTCCTCAACTCAAGCCTTGAACCCTTGTGGGAAAAGACTTGTTGCCAGAGCAGTCAGAATACACAAAACATTGGAGTTTGCTGTTTTACATGGGGGTGGTTAGTAGCACCCCAAAACAATCTGATGTTACTATGTAACATCAAGGATCCCTAATCATAGACCACTGGAACAGATATAATAGTATTAAAAAAGTTAAAGTATTGTGAGAATTATCAAAATGTGACACAGAGACACAAAGTGAGTACATGCTGTTAGAAAAAAAGAACTGACAGACTTGCTAACCCAGGGTTGCCACGAGCCTTCAATTTATTAAAAACAAAAACAAAAACAAAACCGCAGTAAAATGAGGTGTGGGTGAATAACAAGAAAACTGAGGTTTGCAGACATCATACAGCTAGCTAGTAACAGCTGGGATTCAAAACACCTCTGACTTTACAACCACTAATTTTATTTATTTTATTTTGAGGCAGGGTCTCGCTCTGTCGCCCAGGCTGGAGTGCAGTGGCACGATCACAGTTCACTGCAGCCTCGACCTCCGGGGCTCAAGCGATTCTCCCGCCTCAGCCTCAGACTGCAAGTGGGATACCAAGTTCCCACTTCATCTGCCGCAGGGCTGGGCCGCGCCAAGACCACGTGGCCAGTGGGCGCAGGGCGGTGGGCAGCAGTGCGCAGGCGCGCACCTGCTGCTGTGGCTGGGGCCCAGAGCCCGTCCCTCCCTCGCTCCCTCCTTGCTTCCCGCCACCCCTCCAGCGCCTTCCCCCTCCTCCCTCCTCTCTCCACCTCCAGGCCCCGCCCCGGCCCTGCCGCCCTGTCTCCTCCCTGCAGTCGCTCCGGAGCTGCACGGGTGTTCTGCGTGTTGCTGCGTCATCGCCAGTGGTCGGTTTGAATGAGGCTCTCGTCGCACCGAAGCCGCCGCCACCACCGCGCCTCCGCCTCGGCCGCCGCCGCAGCTGCTTCTGGTCTCTGTCTCTTCGCCGCCCTTGTCAGGCCCAGCCCTCCTGCGCCGCCGCCTCCCGCCGCGCCCCGCCATGCCGCTCTACTCCGGTGAGCCCCGTCCTGGCCTCGCGCGCAGCACACCGGGCCGGCGCTAGGCCTCCGCGTAGGCCTGGCCTGCACTGGCGGGCGCCCGGCATGGGCCGGGAGGGGTCGGGGTGGGGTGCGCGGGGCCGGCGGTGCGGAGACAACCCTGGCACCTACCCCTCTCCCGGCTGGTTTGGAGCCCTGCGTGGCGGGGGAGCGCCGTCCCTGGATGGATGAGGGGAGTGGAGATGGGGAAGCCTCTCAAAGTCGTGACTCTGCAGAATAGTTTCTGACGCTGCCCTGGTGTGCGGTGAAAGTGAGGGTGTGTCCTGAGGCGCTGGGCACCAGGCTGGAGGTGCAGGGCGATTCCTTTGGGCTTCTCAGTGGTCGCCGTGGAAGGGAGCGGGGAAGAAGGGGAGGGATGGAGGGACCCGGGATGGAAGGTGAGCCTTCATCCTTCTTGGGGTTGCCAAGCGGCGTTTGCCGCCCTTCGCCCTTCTCTTGCCCCTTGCCTTTGTTCGACCGCCCCTTTGGTACCAGTTTTAGTTTTGTCTCTAGGCAGATTGTAAACCTTTTTGCTTCGTTTTCGTTTCATCAGACGTTGCATTGCATTTCTCTATCCGAAACATGGTGTGAGCTTTCGGAAGTAGATGAATACACATATCCCCGGGGTGTCATTTCTTGATTGGCGTTTGACAAGGGCTTGTGTTGTTTGCTCGCTGACAGTCCAGGGTACTGGCCAGGGATCACTTTTACTTAGAGAATGGACCTTGCTGCTCCCTAGCCTTATTCAAAATGGCACCTAAAATATGTGTGGTGTCTCCAATTGGCTGTAGATGTGTGATTCATTGACCATCCCTATTTATTCTGTCACAGTTCCTTTATTGAAGATTCAGCATTTACAAAGCATGATACGAATAAGAGTATTGTTTGATCTCAAGGTGGATTCTTGATGGTCTAGAATCTTTAATCGACTTCTTAATGATTGCCCAACCCCTTTCTAAAGCCATAACAACAGTAGAATGACTCTTGAAATATTCTAATACCTAAATACACCAGTAGGTTCACACACTTAAAACCTCTATATGTTTTCTCAAAAAATGCCAGCGCTGACCAAAGTTTCTTCTTTAAAATTTGAACTTTATCTTAAATATTTAATCAGATCTTTTCCTCATCCCTCAAATGAGGGAACTCGAGTAGATTTCTAAGGTCCCTTCCTTTGACCTCTCCATATCGATAATCTGTATTTTGAGGGTCAGCAAAAAGCTCTATATTAAAATGAAGAGAACATTTTAAGTACTATTTCATAAGATTTAGTAGAAAATTAAGTATGTAGGCTTGGCGCAGTGGCTCACGCCTGTAATCCCAGCTCTTTGGGAGGCCCGAGGTGGGCGGATCACTTGAGGTCAGGAGTTCGAGACCAGCCTGGCCAACATGTTGAAACCCCGTCTCTACTAAAAATACAAAAATCAGCCGGGAGTGGTGGCGGGCGCCTGTAATCCCAGCTACTTGGGAGCCTGAGGCAGGAGAATCGCTTGAAACCGTGAGGCGGAGGTTGTAGTGAGCCAAGATCGCACCATTGCACTTCAGCCTGGGTGAAAAAAAGCGAAACTGCATCTCGAGAAAAGAAAAAAATTACGTATCTAGATTATTAAATGGTTAAGGATAAGTGCAATTAAAAATTAAAGCCAGGGGCCGTCGTGTGTGCCTTTAATCCCAGCTACTCGGGAAGCTGAGTTGGGAGGATCCCTTGAGCCAAGGAGTTAGAGGGTGCTGTGGTCTGTGATCACGCCACTGCACTCCAGCCTGGGTGACAGAGCAAGACCCCCGTCTCTAAAAATAAACACACACCTGTGCCTCTTACAGAGTTAGGGTTTTGTACGTATTGCTTTGTTTTAATTTTCAACATAATCCTGTGATACTGGTATAATTCCTCTTGTAAGCATAAGCAAAACGTTTTAAGTAACTTGCTCATGGCAATAGCGCAATAAATTTCAGGTAGTTTCCTCTCCTTCTAGTACTGTTTTGTTTTAATCGTGTAGCATCTTTAGCTTGTACTATTGTAATATGCTTCTAGTTTATTTCAGTGATTACAGTGTGCCCTCTTCAAGCCCGATTTATCTGCTTATGACAGCCTTTCAGGAATTACACATTGCCTACAATATAAAGCCTTTATGTGTTTTATTTTATTTTATTTTTTTATTTTTTGAGACTGAGTTTTGCTCTTGTTGCCCAGTGTGGGGTGCAATGGCACAATCTTGGCTCACAACCTCCACCTCTTGGTTTCAAGCGATTCTCCTGCCTCAGCCTCGCGAGTAGCTGGAATTACAGGTGTCTGCCACCTTGCCTAGCTAATTTTTGTATTTTTAGTAGAAACAAGGTTTCACCGTATTGGCCAGGCTGGTCTCGAACCCCTGACCTCAGGTGATCCACTCGCCTCAGCCTCCCAAAGTGCTGGGATTACAGGCATGAACCACCGTGCCTGGCCTTTTTATATATGTTTTAGGATGACTTATCTTCCATAACTTGATCCTTAGCCAGCTTCCAGTTTCATCTACTGCTGCTTTCCCTTTTCTCTGGTAATTAATTACTTACATCTTAGAACATACCATGCTGTTTTATGCTGTGGAATATTTTCCTTCTTTTCTGGGAATACTTCTGTTCTCTCCTAGTCTCTAACACCTAATCTTTTCCTTGAGATTCAAAATTGATAGTGATAACTCAGAAGTTAATACTTCAGGAAATCTTTCCTCATTTATGAAGCATTCCACTTTGTTGCTGTAGCCTTTATAATACTTATATTGTTAATTACTCCCCCCGACCCCGCCCTTATTAGGCTGTAAGTTTATGGAGAGTCTTCCCAATGTTTTGTACCGGGCTTGTCATTAAATGAATGCTCAACATATTCATTGAACTGATGATAGAATTGGGATTTGGTGTCTGGATGAGGTTTTCAAATTCTGATTTCAGGAGTTAGAAAGCAGTTAACAGTTGTGAGATTCTTATTTCTGAAAAGTTATAAAGTTTTCAGTGGAACCAATATATATCTTTGGGTTTTAAAAAATATATTTCAAAAGTTAACTATGTTATGAGGCTGATTGAAATTTTTTATTTTGGTAAAATGTATGTAATAAAGTTTACCATTTTAATGGTTTTTACGTGTGCAGTTCTATAGCATTAAGTATATTCACACTTTTTTACAACTATTACCTTCGTCCACATCCTCTGGCAAACACCATTCTCTTTTTGTGTGTATGCGTTTGACCACTTTAGGTATTTCATATAACCGGAATCATCCATGTTGTAGCATGTGTAGGAGTTTCTTTCCTTTTTAAGGTTGAATAATATTGCATTGTATGTATATACCACATTTTCTTTGTCCATTAATCTGTTGACGGACACTTGAGTTGCTCCCACTTTTTTTGGCTGTTGTGAATAATGCTGCTGTAGACATAGGTGTACAAGTATCTGTTTGAGTCCTTGCTTCCCGATCTTCAGGGTATACCCAGAAATGAAATTGCTGGATCATATGGTAATTCTATGTTTACTTTTATTCCCACCAGAGGTATACAAGTGTTCCAGTTTCTCCACATCTTTGCTAACACTTGTTACTTTCTGTTAAAATTTGAAAATAATAGCCATTCTAATGGCTGTGAAGTGGGATTTCTATATATTTTTAAATGCTTTAGATATGTCTCTGGATTTTTTCTTAATCGAGCACCTCTTGTTCAGAAATGACACTTTTCAATTCTCCCACATTTCTTATGACTCAGATTCTGTATTCCTTAAGTTGTTCTAGATGTGCTTTATTCTCCCAGGAATTTTTTTTCTTCTCTTAAACTATCTAACCTTTTTCTCTCTCTTCTTTTCCAATGCTGTGTGCTGATATGAATGATTCTTCAATTAAACACATTGTGGGGGCTGCAAAACTTATCATTTTGGGAAATGTTTCAATACGATCATATTGTTGGAGTAGGATTCAGAAGACTTGGGAGTTTATTAACCAATTTTTTTTGACATTAGCAAATCAATCTACTTCTCTGAAGTCTCAGTTTCTTTTTTTTTTTTTTTTGAGACCGGAGTCTCGCTCTGTCGCCCAGGCTGGAGTGCAGTGGCACGATCTTGGCTCACTGCAACCTCCGCCTACCGGGTTCAAGCGATTCTCCTGCCTCAGCCTCCCGAGTAGCTGGGATTACAGGCGCCTGCCACCACACCCGGCTAATTTTTGTATTTTTATTAGAGACAGGCTGGTCTCAAACTCCTGACCTTGTGATCTGCCCGCCTCAGCCTCCCAAAGTACTGGGATTACAGGCGTGAGCCACCACTCCCAGCCTACTGAAGTCTCAGTTTCTTTAACTATGAAATGAGAAGTTAGGTTTGATCCAGTGAAATTTTATTCAGCACCTACTGCATGCATGCTGCTCTTGATTAGGTAGGCATTATGGGTGTAGAAAGATGAATGACATACTTTGACTCTTGATAACTGCCTAATTGGTGATCTTCTAAGGGTCTGTAATTCTTTTCTTGTTATTTTTTAATTTAAAAAATTGTGATTTTGTTTGCAGTTACTGTAAAATGGGGAAAGGAGAAATTTGAAGGTGTAGAATTGAATACTGATGAACCTCCAATGGTGTTCAAGGCTCAGCTGTTTGCGTTGACTGGAGTCCAGCCTGCCAGACAGAAAGTTATGGTGAAAGGAGGAACTCTAAAGGTAAAATGTAGTCCAAATTTTCATCACGTTACTATTATTGTATACTTCTTGAAAAATAACACTGGAAAATGTATTTAATTTTAATGTAGCATTTGAAGTACTTTTTTATATGATGAGAATATGTCATCTATGGGGTTTAAACTGTCTTATGCATGTTAGAGTAAGGGAGAAACATTGTAGCTGTTTCACAACACTATACTGTATTATAAAAACATCCTTTTAAAACTCTTTTTACTTTTATTTATTTTTAACTTTTAGGTTCTGAGGTACATGTGCAGGTTTGTTATATAGGTAAACCTGTGTTACAGGGTTTTGATATACAGATTTCATCACCCGGGTACTAAGCATAGTACCTGACAGGTAGTTGTTTTTTTTTTTTTTAAGATCCTCTTCCTCCTCCCACTCTCCACCCTCAAGTAAGCTCCAGTGTCTGTTGTTCCTCTCTATGTGTCTATGTGTTCTCATTATTTAGCTTCCACTTAAAATTAGAACATGCGGTTTGCTTTTCTGTTCCTGCATTAGTTTACTAAGGAACTAACAGGTAATGATCTCCAGCTCCATCCATGTTGCTGCAAAGGACATGACTTTGTTCTAAAAGCATCATTTAAATTTTATTTTAAAATGTATTGTATTACCAGATACCTCTGTGGGTCAGAAGAGTGGAATACTTTACAGTTATCTGTATTGTGTGAATTTTTTTTCCTATGAGGATGTATTAAAAGTATTAGTTTTATTTTGTTTAGACTAAAATGAAATCAATTAATATTTCCTTAGTAATTTTCTGCGATGAGGTTGGAAAATTTTATCTCAGCTTAAACATATGGAACAATACAGATAGGTTTGTTTTCTTAAAAAACTATTACAGAATGTAATTTTGTACATGCATTTGTATGTTGAAATTCAAAGCACTTCAGCATTTTTACCAAAGCCCTGGTTCTGGAAAACTGTTCTTTTTTTTTTTGGCCTTTATTGCATCCTACCCATTAATGAAGAGCCATTTTTTTCTTTTTTTCTTTTTCTTTTTTTTTGAGACGAGTCTTGCTCTGTTGCCCACGCTGGAGTGCAGTGGCGCTGTCGTGGCTCACTGCAACCTCTGCCTCCTGGGTTCAAACGATTCTCATGCCTCAGCCTCCTGAGTAGCTGGAATTACGGGTGTCCACCACCATGCCCGGCTAATTTTTGTATTTTTAGTAGAGATGGGGTTTCACCATGTTGGCCAGTCTGGTCTTGAACTCCTGACCTCAAGTGATCTGCCCACCTCGGCCTCCCAGAGTGCTGGGATTACAGGCGTGAGCCACCGCACCTGGTCCCCTTTTTCCATAACAGTAATTATTACCTAACTCCTACCTGGAGATGGGAGGAAAAAAATTCTGTTTAAAAAGAGAATAAACCTAATTTTTTTCTTTACTTCCTTTGGAATGATCACAGTGACCACAGTTAAGAATCCATCCTTGCCAGCATCACTGATGAAGGACTGAAGAAAAGACAAGAAGATATCTATTATTATTATTATTATTTTTGAGATTGAGTCTCCCTCTGTCACTCAGGTGCTGGAGTGCAGTGGCGCCATCTCAACTCATTACAACCACCGCCTCCTGGGCTCAAGTGATTGTCCTGCCTCAGTCTCCTGAATAGCTGGGATTACAGGTCACCGCCACCACCCCTGGCTAATGTTTGTATTTTTGGTAGAGACAGTGTTTCACCATGTTGGCGATGGTCTCCTGACCTCAAGTGATCTGCCCGCCTCGGGCCTCTCAAAGTGCTGGGATTACAGGCGTGAGCCACCACACCCGGCCTCTGTTGTTTTTAATAATATAAGTATAGTTTTAAAAAATACTTTCTTCAAGGGTTAGATAAAATGCTAAAGATCTGTAGTTAACTTTAAAGACAAAGACTGGCTACCCCCTCAGGGCAGTAAAACACATGTTGGAGGAAAATAACTTTGTTTACCTCTGAAGGTACAGTATGAACCTTTGGCCTTTAGTGAACTTCATAGCCTAATTCGTGCTGAACACTGTACTAGTGGTATGCTGTCAGGAGTTATAGAAGTATGCAAATTAAATGAAACTGTGACTGCTAATAGTTACCATTTATTGAGTACTTATTCTGTGTCAGGCTTTTATTATATTTTCTTTAATTTTCAACTATATGTTGTCCATATCTTATAAATGAGGAAATTTTATAAATGAGTGTCAAAGAGGTTTAAGTAACATAGTAAGGCACCAAATGAGCTTATGATTTATAAATCAAGCAGATCTGTGTTCCATTTCCAGCTTTGTGTGACCTTGGGTGAGTGATCTTAGAGGGCATTTATAGTTTCATTCGTTATCTTTAGCAGTCATAGTCCTTAAATTGAGAAGGGCCTGTAGGAAGTTACTGTTCCATTTTAAAGCAGATAGAGGATATAATTAGTGGCACCAATGAAGGGTAGACAAGCATATTGAATACCCAATACTTTCTATAAAAGGGAGTAATATGGAATCGACTTTATCCTATGAGGGGAAAGGCCTAGCTGCAGTAAGTTAAAATATTACTCTGGACTAATCATGCATTTAAAAAAATATATTGATCTTTATTTAACATATTGAAGGGGAAGTAATTGCTTTATAGATGTGAAATTTAGCACTTGAGAAACATTTATGGTTATGCAAGTACTAGTAAGATTTAGTTTGCCTTGGGTAGTCTGGTTTATTCTAGCATTTGTATTCTTCTGAGTCTCCTGGTTTTGATGGTAAATTATAGAGTCACCTTAATTACATTAACTCTTCATTCTTGCCATGTAAGCTAGTTATTTATTAGCTCTGCTGGTTCCAAACACCCAAAAAATAGGATCTATCATCTGTCATTAGTCAAGTGTATTTTAGTACTTGCTAAAGGTATTTTTTTTTATACTTACGTGTTTTTTAGTATTTGATGCTGTAAAGGTTACTGCCTTTTCTATTGTGTTACCTTATGCAGTTGAAGCAAATTATTTGAAACCCTGGCTTTAGGACTGCTTGTGTTTAAAGAAATTTTTTTTTTTTTTTGAGATGGAGCCTTGCTCTGTTGCCCAGGCTGGAGTGCAGTGGTAAGATCTCAGCTCTGCCTCCTGGGTTCTAAGCTCTGCCTCCTGGGTTCAAGCAGTTATCTTGCCTCAGCCTCCCGAGTAGCTGGAATTACAGGTGTGCACCACCATGCCCAGCTACTTTTTGTATTTTTAGTAGAGATGGAGTTTCTCTATATTGGTCAGGCTGGTTTCGAACTCCTGACCACAGGTGATCCGCCTGCCTTGGCCTCCCAAAGTGCTGGGATTATAGGCGTGAGCCACCGTGCCTGGCCAAAAAAAATTTTTTTTTTATTGCTGTAATTTTAAATAAAATCTGCATACAGGATAAATTTTATTCTGTTTTGAAGTAGGTTAAAATAAATTGATTATTAGATTATGTTCTGCTTGTACAGAAGTGGTTAAATGTCTTTTGTTTGTCTTTGAAACAGGATGATGATTGGGGAAACATCAAAATAAAAAATGTAAGTATTATCTTATGGATGTTTATTATAATGCGGTAACCTCATTATGATACCAAAATAAATTCCAGATGACTTTTTTTCACATGTATATCCAGTTGTTCCAGCACTATCTGTTGAAAATACTTGCCTTTTCCCATTGACTTATGTTGGGCTCTTTCTTGAAAACTAGTTACTGGTTTATTTTTGGTTTTTGTTTCATTGATCTAGTAGATTAGAGTTACACTAGTACCAAATGGTTTTGATTACTAAAGCTTTATAATAAAAGTCTTGAAAAAAAAATTAGCTGGGTGTGGTGGTGCACACCTGTAATCCTAGCTACTCGGGAGGCTGAGGCAGGAGGCAGGAGAATCGCTTGAACCTGGGAGGCGGAGATTGCAGTGAGCCGAGATCACGCCACTGCACTCCAGCCTGGCAACGGAGCGAGACTGTCTCCAAAAAAAAAGAGTCTTGGAATAAGGTAGTATACATTCTTATGCTCTGCCGCTTTCTCCTCTTTGAGATTTTGTTTGAGATTACATTGAATCTGTAGCTCAATTTGGGGAGAATAAACATCTTAACAATATTGCGTATTAAAATCCTTGAATATGATGTACTTCCTTATTTGTTTGGGTCTCTGTTTTCTCTTAGCAGTGTTGTAGTTTTTAAATATAGAGATTTTGCATGAGTGTTTTTTTTTTGGGGGGACAGGGCCTCACTGTCATGTATGCTGGAGCACAGTGGCATGGTCACAGCTTGCTGCAGCTTCAAACTCCCAGGCTCAAGCAGTCCTTCCATCTCAACCTTCTGAGTAGCTGGGACCACAGGCATGTGTTACCATGCCCAGTTAATTAATTAATTTTAGTTGTTTTTTGTAGAGATGGGGGTGTCACTGTGTTTCTCAGGCTGGTCTTAAACTCCAGGGCTCAAGTGATCTTCCTGCCTTGGCCTCCCAGAGTGCTGGGATTAACAGGTGTGAGTCACTGTGCCCAGCCCTTGCATGACTTCTCTTAAATTATTGGAACTTAACGTTTGTTCACTGCTTAAAATGATATTAAAAAATTGTTTCCAGCATTCATGGCTAGAATGTAAAAATACAATTGATTTTTCTTTTTTGTTTTTTTTTTGAGACAGAGTCTCACTCTTGTTGCCCAGGCTGGAGTGCAGTGGCGCGATCTCGGCTCACTGCAACCTCTGCCTCCCGGGTTAAAGCAGTTCTCCTGCCTCAGCTGGGATTACAGGCACCCACCACCATGCCTGGCTAATTTTTGTATTTTTAGTAGAGATGGAGTTTCACCACATTGGCCAGGCTGGTCTCAAACTCCTGACCTCAGGTGATCCGCCCATCTTAGCCTCCCAAAGTGCTAGGATTACAGGCGTGAGCCACTGTGCCCAGCCAAAATACAATTGATTTTTCTAAGTTTATTTTCATTCTGGGTTCTTGTAAGCAATTCACTTACTAATTCCAGTTGTGTTTTGGGCAGATTCCATTGGGTTTTCTGTGTACATAAACATGTTATCTGCAAATAATGACAGTTTTACTTCTCCCTTTTCAATATTCATGACTTTCAGTTTTCTTAAACTTTATTGACATATAATTGATAAACAGATGACTTCTTTTATTTATTTTTTTTGAGACAAAGTCTTGCTTTGTCGCCTAGGCTGGGGTGCAGTGGTGTGATCTTGGCTCACTGCATTATCTGCCTCCCTCGGTTCATGTGATTCTCCTGCCTCAGCCTCCCGAATTGCTGGGATTACAGACGCCTACCACCACGCCCGGCTAATTTTTGTATTTTGGTTTCGCCATGTTGGCCAGGCTGGTCTCGAACTTCTGACCTCAAGTGATCCGCATGCCTTGATCTCCGTGCCAGGCTTTGTCCTACTTTTTGATAGGATTTCTAATACAGTGTTAATAGAAAGTGAGAAGAGTGGCTGAGGGCGGTGGCTCACGCCTGTAATCCCAGCACTTTGGGAGGCCGAGGCGGGTGGATCACGAGGTCAGGAGATCGAGACCATCCTGGCTATACTTTTTGATAGGATTTCTAAATACCAGTGTTAATAGAAAGTGAGAAAAGAGTGGCTGGGGCGGTGGGCTCACGCTGGTAATCCACCCAGCACTTTGGGAGGCCGAGGCGGGGTGGGAATCACGAGGGTCAGGAGATCTGAGACCATCCTGGCTAACACGGTGAAAACCCTCTCTCTACTGACAAAAAAAAACAATTAGCCAGGCGCGGTGGCTAGGCACTCTGTAGTCTTCATCTAACTCTAGTGAGGCTGGAGGCAGGATGTAATGGACGTTGAATCCAGGAGCGGAGCTTGCAGTGAGCCGATGATTCATGCTCCACTGCATTCCAGCCTGTGGCAATCAGAGGCAAGTAACTTCCTCTAAATAAAAAAAAGAAAAAAAGTGTATGAGAGTGGATCAATCTTGTCTGGGTGTGGTAGCTCAAGCTCTGTAATCCCAATGCAACTTGGGAGGCCAAGGAGGGTGGATCAGCTTAAGGTCAGGTAGTTATTCTGAGACCAGCTCTGGCCAACATGGTTGAAACCCCGTCTCTAACTAAATAATACAAAAATTAGCTCGATTAGTTCATCATGGGTGGCGCGCCTGGTAGTTTTTTTTTTTCTCAGCTAGTCAGGGAGGCTTGATGGTAGATGAATTGGCTTTTTTTGTCTCAGGTAGGCATGAGGTTGCAGTCAGCTGAGATCACAGCCACTACACTCCAGCCTGGGCAACAGAGGCGAGATCTCCATTCCGTCAAAAAAATAAT